TTACTACCCATTTGACCACCCTAAAAGCATCTCCTTTCTTGGCATTTACAGCTTCCAAATATTTGAAGGCGGCTGTATCCAACTTAAGTTTTTATTTAACCGAACCATAAATATTTATCTAAATACTCCACATAATTTGGCTGTCTAACTCATAACTCATTTTGTTGCTGTGGTAAGAATGCCCAAATACAGTCTCACCAGTGCCACAGAAAAGACACTATTGCTTCTCCAGGCTATGCAGGCTCAGAAGTGCAGCGCTGGTTGCTGGGGTGTTTTTTTGTTTTTGTTTTTTGCCTTATCACATCACAAGGTCATATCCAGTAAGATGTTTGTTACCACTTTGACATTTTTCAGCATTACTGCTTTCTTGAGCTCTCTCCTCCATTGAGTATCGCGTGTTTAGAATTATTTTCCAAATATTATATATTGATTGGGGCTTTTCTAGGATTGGCTCTGATTTAATTTCCTATCTTCAATGCTTTAGTAATTTAAATGTACTTGACCATGGAAATGCTTATTAATGCAAGATTCCTTTTTTCTAGACCATAACATAATTAATAGCCAGAAGAAAACCCCCAAAGAGATTTCTGTTTCTCTTTGACTTACAGTTCTTTTCAGTAGGAAAAATAGGTCAGCCACTGGAAACCAGTTACAGTCTACTAGTGCCTACAGCTTAATATCATATTTAATTTCCTATTCCACTCAAAAAAAACCCAGCCCACATTACTTCAAGCAGTCTGTCTTCAGCCAGAAGTGCATAGCTCAAAGGAAAATAGCATGCATACTGCTGCAATAACTTAACTATTTTGGGAATATCAACTAGTAATCTGGACTCATACTTAGGTATATCTGTTTCTGCCAGCAATGCCTTTTCATGCCTTTCCGATTCTGCCTTAACATGTTAGGGGAGAACAGAATTTATTCTTCATCTTTGATGTCTTCTTCAAATGATCGATCAAAAGGAAGGAATGTTACCTCCTGCTTCAGAAATAAAATTGTTGGATGGAGGTTTTCATGTCACATCAGGATTTTATAGGATCATTATCTCAGAATCTTTAATCAAGAAATCAGTTAAAATCTAAATAGAGTAAGTCAATTTGAGATTTTAAAAATGCTTTTAAGGATTAAAAGGTTATGACATTTAAATGCAAAAAGGATGAACAAACACTAGAGTTGTGTGCATAAATGAAAGTGTTCAGTGAATATTCAGACTGAAGGTAAATTTTGAGTTGATTTGTATTTGTGATCTTTTTTATTTTCATATTCCATGAACATTCAAGCTTCTTAGCATGAATACTCCAGAAGAATGAATTTTTAGCTAGATAGCCATCAAATACAAATGGACTAAAAATAGGTCAGAATTGGATTCTCACTTTTACCATGTGTTTGTACAACTCACAGTGCAGACTGTTCCTGCCCTAAAGAGGTTATAAATTAGAATATAAAAAGTAGGTTGCAAATTGCCAATGTTACTACTTATACTATACGGCTGTGTCTACATTGGCCCCTATTCCGTAATAGGGATGCAAATGTAGCACTTTGGAATAGGCGCGGCATTTGCATTTTCAGGGCTGCCGCTTTTTTCCAGCTTGTAGATAAGCCGGAGAAAAGCACCAGTCTAGACGCAATCCTCCAGAAAATAAGCTCTTTTCCGGGGGATCTCTTATTCCTACTTTCAAGAGCTTATTTTCTGGAGGATCGCGTCCAGACTGGCGCTTTTCTCCGGCTTATCTAAAAGCCAGAAAAAAGCGGCAGCATGTTAATGCAAATGCCGCGGGGGGTATTTAAATCCCCCGCGGATTTGCCTATTCCAAAGTGCTACATTTGCATCCCTATTACAGAATAGGGGCCAATGTAGACACAGCCTACATGTTATCTAAATTACCAGACAATACCATGTGCCTTATGGAATTAACCAATTTATCAGGGGATAAATGGTGTCCTTGGCCTCTGTTTGTCAGAAGCTGGAGAGGGATGGCAGGAGACAAATCGCTTGATCATTGTCTTCGGTCCACCCCCTCTGGGGCACTTGGTGCTGGCCACTGTCGGTAGACAGGATACTGGGCTAGATGGATCTTTGGTCTGACCCAGTACAGCTGTTGTTAACCATCACAGAACAACAGGGGGATATTATAATCAAATATAAAGTTCAAAATGCGCAATGTACTAATGGGTTATGTAAGTCACGTGATATTGCTTCTGTTCCCTCATTGGACAGTGTAACATACTATGAATTTGGAATGTAAAATTGCAAATTACCTTTGCTGGAGAAAGCTGCAGAAAATTAACTGGAACAAACTGGTTGTGCAAACATTTTTTTAAAAATAAAATTGATGAAATAAGTGGCTTGCCATGAATTGTAACTAAGGTGTAACAAAACACATGGATAACCTCTGTCAGGATATCCAAACAAGTTAACTTCCTGCTGTATATAACTAGAATGATTGCTCTTTATGTTTTAGGAGAATACTGTACATGAGGCATTGCTTTTTTCTCTTTCCAAAGGTGAGGCCCAGGTACTTAGCTAACATATAGGCTCATCTGCCATTTCCTTATTTATCTACTCCAAGGGATCATAAACTTATGTTCTTATGTAGCAGCAGTACAGGCAGTGAGACCGTCTCTCACTCTCCTTGTTTCCAGCTGCTTCTACGCCTTCCAGGCTCTTCCTTCCCAAGTGAAGTCTAGGGAGCTGTAGAAGCAGCTGGAAATGAGGACAGCCAGCCAGCTCGTTCTCCATGGGCCACTGCCTATCCCACATTGTTCCGCACAGCAAGTCTTTAAAGCATTGTGTGTGGCTCTGCAGAGCTGAGCATTTCTCTTTTCTAAACTACTGTAATCTCATGACCTAGATCTACAAGTGTGAATGAAATCTAGGAGTTAGAGCTATAGGGCATCCTTGGTAGTGACAGTGGAAAGATTGTGATGTAGGAAACCCAGTCTGCCCATCCTCACATCTTCTCTTTGCTCTTCTTCCACACGGTGCTGACTTGATTACCTCAACATCTTCTTCACACCTTTTCCTCACCATCTCTTTCTTCTCTTACTCCTGCCCTGCTACCTTTCTCACCATTTTATAGTATATATCCTGCCTTTCCATTACATTCTCATTCCATTCTCTCTTGCTTCCTTTCCTCTGGATCCCTGTAATCTTCTCCTACTCCCACCCCATTCAAGTTTACAGGGTCTGTTCTCACCCATAGTATCTCCTTACCTCCTTCCCATTGCTATGTCACTATTTTCAAAGAATAGGACCATTCAAGTTTACAGGGTCTGTTCTCACCCATGGTATCTCCTTACCTCCTTCCCGTTGCTATGTCACTATTTTTAAAGAATAGGTTTGCATTTGCTTATCTTAGGCCCTTGAATGTACAAATAGGAATTAAGATTTCTCAGAGTAAGTTGGTGGACATGCAAATGAAGGTGAAGCAAAACTGTACCTGCAAGGGAGGAGTGAAATAATGTCTGTATTTGTATTTCACAGTCATTTCCTCCCATAGGAGTCAGAAGGACACAGAAAAGAATGTTTGAGATCCAGTAAAAATTTTGCAGGCATGCTGCTGGTAAGAGCAAAAAGAACCTTTAAATGACACGGCTAACAACGTAAGTTGTAGCATTTCGTAGGATGAATTAGACAGGAGTTCTGAGTTGAATAATGTCTGATTTTGTAATGAACTCTAGACTGAAATCCCCAGACCTTGCAGGGAGATGGATTAGAACTAAAAACATTGGAGGAGCTACACATTTTTTAGTCATGTGTTTCAGATTATACTTACTTGCCTGCTGTATTTATATTAACATTCTTCCTAAATATGGCTTTTCTTCTTACATCCAATATATGACCATTCAAAAGGGGAGCCAAATACATAAAATCAGTATGATAAGCATCTCAAACACTCATCTGAATCCAGCCACATTTAAATTCAGCAAGATATACCATTTTTGCAGATCAGAGGAATATGGTTTATCATCAATGTGATTTACAATTTCCTTTCTTTGCAAGTGCTCAGATAAGAGGGAGGACACCACACATATTAGATAGAACAATTATGACAGCATTGTGGTTTATGGGGGTTTGATTCAGGGTATAGGACTTGCCTACCTTTGCTTTATTCACAAGTCTACATTGAAGGGGAGAGTGACTGTATTCCTCTTAAACATTGCTTTTGATTTGGGTATTATTTAAGTAACATTTTATAAAACATGGTACAGAGTATAAATATTGTCTCTTAATATTTGTTGTGAGCGTAGAATGTTCCCTATGACACTGTAAATATGTTTTATAAACACTGACAATTTCACAATACAGGCAGTCCCCAGGTTACGTACAAGATAGGGACTGTAGGTTTGTTCTTAAGTTGAATTTGTATGTAAGTTGGAACTGGTACATATTGTAGGGGAAACTCTAGCCAAACATTTCTCCAGACCTCAGTTTTATTCTCCCACACCTCACTTCCCTCAGTCCTTTATTCTCAAACTGAGGTGTCTGCTGAGAAAAGCCGCTCCGCGTCTCCCTGGTCTGCTGGGGGGGGCGCTAGCTTTGCGTGTCCCTGATCTGCTGGGGGGAAGCAGCTAGTGCGGGGTTGCCTCACCCCGTTTGTAAGTAGGGATCCGATGTAAGTCGGATCCATGTAACCCGGGGACTGCCTGTATCTACATGCTATAATAGTGTACCAGCTATAAGACAAAAAACTTCCTCTTATGGCTCTAATGATTACATTAGTCTGGATATGTTAACCATTTAGTAAACTATTATTTTTGGGAGGCCCACAGATATTTCAAATACCTTTGATTTTTATAAAACACAGATTATTTTTGTACAGACAAATGTAGCTACCAATATCATTGTGATTTAGCTTTTAAAAATATATTCATGTTGGCAGATCACACCTATTTTATGATCCATACCATTAAATGATATTTTCTGTAAACATAAACATTAACAATGGCTTTTAGAAATAATATAGTTAGCAAAAGACATTTACAAGGCCTGGACTCACCTGAAAGTCTATTTTAATTAGTGCGATATCTGCTTTTTCATCAACATCTTTAATTTTGGCTTCATATGTTGCACCATTCTTCAGCTCCACTTTTACCCTATGTTTATTGGTAACCACATGGGCATTTGTTACTATTAGTCCATCTTCTGAGACAATAAAGCCTGAACCACTAGCTACAGGAACCTCCCTTTTTGTAAAAGGGAGCCTAGAAAAAGAAAGAAATAAACATGAAGTCTGAAGACTATTCAGATTGTTCAGACTGTAAAAGGGAGCCTAGAAAAAGAAAGAAAGAAAGAAACATGAAGTCTGAAGACCATTCAGATTGTTCAGATATGACAAGTCATTTGTGATTACTATTTTCTTTCTTAGACAACCAACAAGTATTTGACTTTTTAAAAATATTTTTGAAACATTTAGTATAATTTATTAAGCATCTCAGGTAACATTTTATTGAACATGTATTAGTCCTACCAAATTCAAAATTTGTGCCAAAGTTTTCAAGCAAAACATAATATGTAACGTAAGCATGACAAATATATAAATATTCTTTTGAAAATAGCTTCATTATATTTCAGCATATTAACCTTTGTGAGCTATTGAAATAGAAATAAAAAAGTAGGTAACTTGTTTACTTGCGAAACAATTCAATATGAACCACAGCAGGGGCGATCTTCTCTACCACATCTGCAATAAAGTTGTATTTGTGCCGCAGGCTGTTCGGGTCCTCCTGGCCTGAGAACAGATGCAGAAAACACATGTTATTCTTCAAATGGCAGGAGATAAATCATTGCCAAATACTTGCATTAAACACACACACACACACACACACACACACACACACACACACACACTCGACCTTCTTAACAGGAACAAAACAAACTTATAGTTTTGAGTCTGACCCCTGCCCTAAAGACATTCCCCTAACTTTTGGGGAAAGTTTTACTGGCAATGTAGCCAGTTCATAGGGCAAAGAGCTCCATGGAAAATTCTGAATGGATATGGAACTTTTTTCCAGGATGGGTAGGAATGGTGCCCTTTGGGAAGAGATGACAGGGGAGGGATCACCTGTCAATTGCCTGTTCTGTTCATTTCTTCTGGAGCACCTGTCATTGGCCACTGTTGGATGACAGGAATACCTAGCTAGATGCACCTTGAGTCTGACCCAGTATGGCCGTTCTTATGTTCTAATCCACCGGATTAGAGTCCTTATCACTTAATCTCCAACCAGATGACTAAAGTATTTCATACAAAGGAGAACAGCTTCAACAGGAGACAGAGACCCATCCAGTGTTTACAGCACTTTCCCTTTAGACGGGAGAGCTGGATCCAAATCTCTGCTCTATCAGACAGAGGACAAATTTGAACCCAGGTCTCCTCTATCCCCGAGAAGAGTGCTGCAAGCACTAGGTATATGGCGAACAGTGTGCAACATCATCAATTCCTACTTCCGCTGGCTGCCCTTTGGTTGGGATAGGCATGCTAGGAGAACTATACAATCAGGTCTGAGAGGTTTCATAGGCAAGGGATCTCTTAGTCTGTGAATCTTCCCTAGGCTTAGGTTTAAGTGAAGTGCCAAGCTGCTAGAGGTATCAGGACTGTGCACATCCCCACCAAACAAATGCAGATGGTGGGGGGCAGTAGGATTAGGCAATAGCTAAGGCTTTATAAATGCCTCTGACATCTAAACACTGGACGTATGAGCTTAACCAACACGTTATGTGCCTCAGGCCCCCTTGTGAGCACAGCATTTAGAAATATTTTCCAAAAAGTGCCCAACTTCCATTGGTTCTAATAGGAGTTGGAACCAAGGCACTTTTGACAATGTTACTAACATCTTATTTGTGCCCCATATGGCAAGAGCTTAGCCACCACTGCTTTAACCTCAGTGTCTTAATCACAGCTTGCTGCAGTTACAGGACAAGTTTGTTGGTACACAAGTGTTGGGAACATCGCGGATATTCTCTGTGTGCAGAAAAGGAAATACAATTGTTTTTCCTTCGGTGTGACTGTTTTAATCTCACAATGATAACCTGTTAAAAAGGGCACAAAAAATAAATCATAAAACAGAAAAAATAAAAAGACTCCTAAGCCTACAATGCAGCACTTCTCCCACCTCTCTATTTGTCCTTACTGTGAGTATTTAAATTTGTTACCGTGTATGTTTTACATTAGTCATCAATAAAGTCTCTGCAGTGGGAAAAAAAGCATTTCCTGTTAACATAGTGCAAGATCCATAGACAATTGTTTGGTTGTTCTGACCTATTTCCCCAAAACTATTTAAAGGTCAGGGAATACATCACCCTGAAGTAGTGACTGTAAGAGGGACTACTGAACTGCATTAGGGTCCACCTGTGAGACAGGGATCCCCTCTTTCTTACAGGAACCACACAAAGCTTCATGATTTGGGTTTTTTCCATATGCGTGAGATTTTTTTTCCCAAACAGAACCAAGCATGTTAATTTCAATTTTTCTTTGTACGCACATACATTTGTAAAAATGTGTTTCCAGTAAAATTTCCTTTGTGTTGTAATCCTTTGATCTGTCAGAGAAAGGAGAGTAAAAACATGGTTTCATAACACTACAGGTATCTGTGATAGCCTATCAGGCTAAGACTGGTGAGAGATGCCAGGCTATTCCAATGACTCATCCCAGCACCCAGATGGAGGGGCATCACGAAGTACAATGCAGAAGAACAAGAAGTAGATGATTTTTTAAGCAAGAGAGGGAAGCATTGTGGTGGGAGGAATACCCTAGAAGTGATCGATTCAAGGGGGGGAGGGAGGAAGGAGACTCAGGCTCTGGGGGTATGTCTAGACTACATGCCTCTGTCATCAGAGGCATGTAGAATAGGCTACCCGCCATAGGGAAATGCAGCCGCGATTTAAATAATCGTAGCTTCATTTAAATTAAAATGGCTGCCACGCTCTGCCGACCAGCTGATGATCTTTGTCGGCGGATCGGGGCAGTCTAGACGCGCCGTGGTCAACAAGGAAGCCTTTGTCGACCGGCTCAGGTAAACTTGGTTTCACGAGGCATGCCTGCACCGGTCGACAAAGGCTTCCTTGTTGACCGCGGTGCGTCTAGACTGCCCCGATCTATCGACAAACAGCTGATCATCAGCTGGTCGGCAGAGCGCGGCAGCCATTTTAATTTAAATGAAGCTGCAATTATTTAAATCGCGGCTTCATTTCCCTATGCCGGGTAGCCTAATCTACATGCCTCTGACGACAGAGGCATGTAGTCTAGCCATACCCTGGTTGTTTACAGTATTAAACTAAGAGTAAAGCCTCAGGAAGCCTGGTGACTTTTAGGTTAGGTCTTGTATTACATCCGGAGGTGCGACAGCAGCTCAGTGGAAATAAACATACTAGCTTTAATCATGGACTCTGGCACAGATCAGCAACATGAGCGGGTAAGACATCCGTGATTCCAGAAGAGTTTGCACACATAAGACACTATACCAGCTAGCATGTGCAGCATCCCTCCTCAATTTCTCATACGTTCCCCCCTTCTCCACATCACCATCATATCTGAAGTGCTTTATAAAGCAATTTGTTTACTCAACAATAGCAAATTGCAGTAATTACACACCGAACTACAGCGATAATTCTCAGTTGGGACATAAGAATCTGAATTACAAAGTAGGGACGTAAAATGCTGTTTAAACTGGCTAATTAACAGATTAAGTGGGATTCTGCGGGTGGCGAGGGAGGGTTCAGCCCAGCTGGAGCAGCCCCTAGGGCTGCTGGCCACCGGTGAGGGGTTGTTCCTGGGTGCCACTTAACCAGTAACTGGTGAGCATCACCCAGTAAGGTAAGCATCACTGGTTAACGAGTTACTCCTTCACATCCCTATTTAAAAGAGAATTATCACCACCTCATCTCTACCTCAAAGCACACCTAGATCTTCAACTTCAGGTCACATCTACACTGGCAAGTTACTGTGGAGCAAATCAGCCCCCAGCCACTGTGACTTTCCTGGTGTCCACACTGGCAAGGCACTAAGTGCACTCTAGGCAAACCACCTCCGCAAGAAGAGCAGAATTCCCTTCCTGTTTGGTCAGTGATGCATGGTGTTCTCAGCGCATCTCTCCAGCTGGCCGTGCCTGCTCCACGCACCATGAAATCCCTGGCTTGGAGCCATGCTGAGGTGCTGACTTTCATCAGCATTTGGGGAGAGGAGGCTGTCTAGTCCCATCTGCGCTCCAGTCGTAGGAATTACGATATCTATCTCTAGGTGCATGACCAAAAGAGGCCATGACTGGGACTCACAAAAACTTAGGATCAAAGCAAGGAGCTGTGAAACACCTACAACACGACACGGGAAGCAAACTGCTGCTCTAGTGCTGTGCCCATGTCCTGCAGATACTACAAAGAGCTGGATGCTATACGTGGAGGTGACCCCACCTCTGTTCCAAAGGTCCTTGTGGACACCTCGGGGCTTCAGGGGGCATCTGGCAGTGGACCGAGATAGGAGAAGGAGGAGGAGGAGGAAGTTGTAGCCAATTGTGCTGAGGGGGAGAGGGACTCAAAGCCAGAGGAGCACTTGGCACCCTGAGAGACGTGACCAGCTTCCCCCCCGGAACCGGTTGTCCCAAAACTTTTTCCCAATGCATCCCCTTCCTCATCAAATACAATTTGGGCACCACTCTGTTCGTAGGCAACACCTACTGAACTCAACACCTGCCCGCCCAACCTCCACCCATACAGACTCTTGCAACAAATTGCTGCCCCAAAACATCCCTGATCCTTACAGGCCTGCACTGTGCTCCTCTAATAGCACTGGTCTTGAGGTGCTGAAACTTGGCCTCCACGTGCTATGCATCACCCTTCCCATCACAAATATTATGGAGGGTACAGCATGCAGTGATAATCTTAGGGATATTATCAGGCAAGTCCAGCTTCCCATACAAACTTCGCCAACAGGCCTTCAAATGGCCAAAATGCACACTCTCTCTGACCTGCTCACCCTGCTTCTGTCAAGTTTCCCCATGTATGGTTTCATGAGCCAGGGCAAAAAGGGTTAGGCATGGTCTCCAAGGATCACACTGGGCATTCCCATTTCCCCCACAGGTATCTTCCTTTATGGACCAGCCTGTGCTAATGTCCATGAAATGTGCAGTGATCCACAAGCGCCTGCAGAACCATGGAGAAATACCCTTTGCGATTACTGTACTCCAATGCTAGGTGGTCTGGGGCCAGAACTGGAAGGTGTGTGCCATCTATCACCCCTCAGCAGTTTGGGGAGCCTGTCCATGCAAAGCCATCAACACTTTCATGCACGTTGCCCAGAGTCATGGTCTTTTGGAGCAGGATGCGATTTATGGCCCCGCGCACTTCCATCAACCTGAGTCGACTTTCCTACTCTGAAATGACTGGCGACCAAACCAAAGCTGTCTGGAGCAGCCAGCTTACACGGTGCATTGATTACGTGCTTTTCCACAGGCAACGCAGCTCTCATTCATGTGTCCATGGCACCACAGGGTGAGGGCAAGATCAAGACACAGTCCCATGAAAGTGGGTTTCCTCATCTGAAAGTTCTGCAGCCACTGCACGTCCTCCCAGTCTTGCATGATGATGCGATCCCACCACTCAGTACTTACTTCCTGAACACAAAAGCCATGTTCCACTGTGGTTAGCACATCCGTGAATGCCACAAGAAATCTTGTGTCATACAAATGTTGCTTAGACTTCTCATCACTGTAAAGCTTCAGGAATAACTTGACTGCCATGTGTGACGTGCTAGTGAGACCAATCAAAATTTTCATCAACA